CGTTAAAGGATGAATTGGAACAAAAGGATCAAGAGATTGGAGGATTGCATGGCATACCAGGTAAACTAGATGCAACCGTTGGAGAAATGCGCACATGGTTCAGATCGTTGATTCACATGAACCAATCATCGATCAATTGGCAATATCAACAGTTGGAAGAATTCGAAGTTTTCGCACGTACCACACTAGAGCAAGAGTGGGAAATTTGGTTGGAAAAGATGACGTCATCACATATAAATTTGGTAAGTTGGATCCAAGAAAGATTTGCTGAGATGGCAGCATTGGAAAAAGAGGAAGCTACCGCTCGTAATAAGTATAACCATGAATTTTATGATTCGGTCAAAGATATTGAGAGTCGACGTTGTGCGCTAAAGGCAATGTTGAGTGGGTGGATACTTGAATAGTTTTTTAATTTCTTAACCTTTACAGAATTATGTGTAAAGAAACGGAATAACTGCAGTTGCCATACTTGGCTTTTCCCTAAACAATCTATACCATGAACTCCCCTATGTTGATATTATTCATGCTAGTGTTAACTCTAACAGCAGGCAGAGGGGCTAAATCGAAGAGAAAAAATAGGAAATAATAATCGAATTACGAAAGAACTGTGGTGATGCTGTCAAGTGTTGTTAAGCCACCGAACAAGCCGGGGTGGCTGCTAAAAAGGAAATGAAAGAAAATAGACAGCGCTCTCATAATGCTGCTGATATTTGTGGAATAAATACAAAGAAACTGCCACTGCTGTTGTTGATCTCTCTGTGTGCTGAGCACTGTGGTGGGGACCCTTCCAGAGAGTGTTGGTAATCACTTGTTTACTGCTAATAATAATAGTATAATTGCTACTGTGTTCAGTACACGGAGCACCGAGAAAATTAATCCTGATGACACCCACTGGAATGAGGTGCATCAATTTGTGTGGAAATACTCTTAATCTCTTTTCGTTTTTTATACTTGTAAGCAGAGCATTGCTGTGCACCTTGTGGTGTGTCTCTCACTCTGCAATTGTGTGGTTCTGGTAAACGATATCTCTTTTCTTTTTTTTATTTGCTTTCACATTATTTCTGAGCGGGATAACATATAATTTGATTAATTCAGTGGGGATACTAATTATAATAGGGACAGGGAGAAGCCGACACATAGAGAGATTTATGCATTATCCGTTGTTTTTATTGCTTCTCTCTCTTTGTGTGTGGCTATCTCTGCAATGTTAACAAATGATATTCAGTTTTTTTTTATAATTTCTTTTCGTTTTTATTTGGGATTGGGTGGGGCTTCATTTTGTTAAAATAATGGGTATTTTCCCTAATATGTATCTACCTCTGTTGTATTGATGCTTGACTCCATATGTGTCTCTGTGTGGAGTAATAGTGTTGTACTGGTGCTTTTATTTTTTCTCTCTCTCCCTTTTTCCCTCTTTTCCACACTCGCTGCATANTACTGCTAAACCTCTTGCACCGGCACAATTTGGTGCTGCGGGTTCTTCTGGTACATCTCTTTCAACTACACGTGATGGTCTTCCATCTAGTCGTCAAAGTGGTATAAAGGCCCAGGGTGGTCATGGTGTTGGCCAACATGATGTGTCTTCTGAAGTTAATAAGCTTGCGAAACATCCTGAAGAATCCACGCATAATACTAAACGTGATAGTAGTCTTGCGCAGGGTGAGAAGGAGTTGGAAGAAAATAAGCAAAAGGAGTTGAAAGGAGAGTCGGGTGACAGATCAAAAGGCCAAGGTCGCGGGAATGAAAGTCACCCAGAACCTGCTGTATCTCATCCTCGTACTGTACAAGATGTAAGTATCAACCAGCCTAGTGAGGTGACAGAGAAAACAGAGAATACTCAGAAGCAGACGTTACCCACTGAGTCAGGCTTGATTGGAACTAAGGGTAATCAGGAACCGATAAAGGGAACCACACACGGTCCTCAACAACAAGATAACCACAATACAGAACCAAATACCACAGGTACAACAAGTACAGACTCCCATGTTACTGCTGACTCAAACTCACATCCTACTACAAACGCATCACCTAGTGAAATAACTCAATCTGGTCTATCTACTGATGATTCAAACACACTAAATAACACGAGCACAGATCTTAACAGTACCACTGATAATGTGACAACTACAGAGAATGAATCAACAACTGGTGTCGATACTATTGGTGCATCAGCAGAAGGGAACACCACAGCGAACACGGACTCTGTTACCCTCAATACCACCAGTAATGAGGACTCAACCTTACCTACCACAACCACCACCACCACCAATACAATTCCTCCTCTCCCTGGAATCAGCAATAACACCATAATGCAAAATGTGAAGGGTGATGCAGACAGCAGCAGCAGTATCAGCAGTTCTGTGTGGATGCGTGTGCCACTACTGATTGTGGTTACACTGGCCTGTATTCTTGTGTGCTGATTATAGTGGTGGTGGTGTGACTCAGGTCATCCTTTGTTTTCTTTTTTCTTGCATACCACCCTACAGTCTAACTAATCTTCTACCTATTTGGATTATATTCTTCTTTTTTGTTTCTTAGTGTTTTTGTGTTTTGTGTGTTTTTTGCTCTCTTTATTTATCCTATAATAATTATTATTGCTACTCCATTGTGTGTGTGTGTTCTTGGAGACTCTCTTTGTGTGCCTGGTTTTGTACTATGATGATGAACTGCTTTTTACAATGAAAAAGAAAAGGAAATAATAATAATAATAGATGAATTTATATTTATAATTGCGTATATGAACAAACATATAGACGTGTACCCATAGTTGGTGTATATTTCTGTGTTTACTTGGTAAATTGGGCTAATGGTTAATATCTTTTTATTTGCTTTTTGTTTGCTGGGGTCGTTGTGTCCTTTGCTCTTTATTGTTATTGTGATGTTAAGTTTTGTGCAGAGAAAAGGAAAAAAGGGAAAATAATAAAAGATTCATTTATATTCATAATTGCTTAGTCACTCAAGCAAACCGATATATCTCTGAATTCTGTTGTGATGGAACCGTCAGCTATTAACTTAATTTCGTTTATTCTTCATTGAGTAGTTTCTTTGGTGACTCATTACTGAAATGTTTATTTTTTTCTTTAATAACTGTTGATTTTATTGTGTTGTTTTCTCTCTTTTTTTTTTTTTTATTGTATTCTATCTTTTTTGTTTTTGCTCACATTTCCCGTTTTTTTACTTATATATTTATGTAGCCAAGTGACCCAAACAAAAAGGCCTCTTGTCGTGATGTTGTTGCGTTTTGTGTTGTGTGTGATCACTTTGCTTGTGAGCATTGGCTGTGTTTGTGTAACGGCAACTGGAGATGGTGGCCCTTCTGCTCTTGCTTCAACTTCTAATCTTGATTCTAATAATTGTCCTCCAGATTCTTCTGACGGTCATCATTGTACTCATATAGGTGATCAACATGAAGGTACACCTAAAGAATGTGAGGGTAGTACTGCAGGAGGTCAATGCCCTAACAGGGAAGAAGGAAATCAACACCAAGTGAACGAAGAGAGAAAATTACATCTGGCTTCTTCTGCTCATGAGAAAGTGGGTGATGAATTGGTAACCATGGTTTCGCAAACCGATCCAAATACAGTAAGGGTAGGAAGTGAAAGAGGTGAGAATTTAGATAAAGTTAATCTGGAGAATCAAAATCATGACGAAAGTGGTAGAGGAAAAACACCACTAACTCCAGAGGATAGAACTCATAGGGGACCTACTCAATCAGAAGATCATGTACAGGCCCAAGCACAACAAAGCGCACAACAAGGAATCCCTGGTTCTCCTCAACCGGAAGAAAGCAGCGCAGTGGTCAGCAACCCCACGAGCTCAGGAGAACAAGAGACTCAAAGGAATGATAATACACTTAATACGGAATCCTCACCTCAGACAAATCCACACCAACAAGAAAACGCTGAATTGCAATCATCTGTCATTGCTGGTGCTGAGACTCCTGCATCACCTTCACCAGCGGAAACTGAAAATACAAATGCATCTGATAATGCAAACGCTGGGAGTGTCAGTACATCTCCAGAGAGTGAATCAACAAATAACACAGCTACTAATACAGAGACCCCCACCACCACCACCACAACAACAACAACAACACTTCCTCCTGAACTCACAAACAACAAGAAGGGTGATGCAGACAGCAGCAGCAGCAGTATCAGCNCATAGTGCAGTGGGTGCGTTATCATCAACAAGTGCAGCAGGACCACAAAAAACACAACACGATATTCAGCAAACACAAGGCCAAAATGACGGAAATAATGTGGCATCACAGGGAAAGCAAGAGATATCGAGCAGCACAACTGACAACAATAGACACAGTAATGTTAATCATGGTGGTGATGCCGTCAGTTCATCGGTTATTTCTGCCCCTCAGGTGGAGAGGAGTACCTCTACTAATGGAGGTGGTCTTAGTGCAGGAGAACACACCGAAACTCAGCAGTCTAATCCACCTGCAGAAGGGAACCCAGGATCATCAAATAACACAGATGATAACAGTGTACCTGGCGATTCTAATCTTTCTGCAGCAACGGAGGTTACTGCACAGGAAAGTGCAAGTGCAAGTGCAAGTGCTCCACCAGACTCACAAGAAACCACTTCCACTACTCCGCCGAGCAATGAGAACACTACCACAGAAGCACCAACCACCACTTCATCTCCTGTACCCAACGCAGAGATTAACACTATCGCTTCCACTGTACAGAAGACCAAGGCTAATGTTGACAGCAGTGTCAATCCTGTGTGGATGCGCACTGCAGCACCGCTGATGATTGTGGTTGTGTTGTTCTCCGCTACAGTGTACTGAACGGTGGGACTCATCTGAGGACAAATAATAATAATGGTTAAACTAACATAATCATAATTGCGTACATCCCCCATGAGTGAATAAACTAATAATCTGTTTACCAGCTTTCTCTTTTAATTGGGATTTCTTTTCTTTACATTTATGTGTGTGTGTTCTTTTTCTAATAATTCCATTACTTGCTTTTCCCGTTGTGTGTATTTGCAGAAAACTGGGCTGTTCTGTTCACTGACGGTATACATCTCTTGCTAGTACACACAGATGTGTGTGTGTGCAGTAATTTAATATACATAAACTAGAGCCATGGTGTATTGTGTGTGTGTTTGTTTTTTCTTGGAGATTCTCTATGTGCCTGGGCTTGCACTCTTATGATAATGATGAACTGCGTTTCGCAGTGGATGAAAATGGAATAATAATAACATATGAATTTATATTTATAATTGCTTATATACACAC